CTGCTTCCTGCATGGCCCCTTCTGGTGATCAAGCCAGCAACCCAGGCATGTGCCCTTGACCGGAATCCAATCTGGGACATTTCAGTCTGCAAACTGATGCTCTCTCCACTGAGACAAACCAGCTAGGGCTAATGTACATATTTATATAAGCTCATATTTCATCTAGTTTCAAGTGATGCTCATAATCATTGTTCTTGCTGGAAAGAATATCTCATCATTGAGCTTATGCAACTGACACAGCTACTGCACATGAATACGTTTTCCCATCCAAATGTCAGAGAACACTGTGCTTATTTTCGACATCATCTAGCCTTACCCCCAAGTCAGGTGGCTTTGGTTCAGTGATCTGACACTAACTAGAGATGACTTTCTTTTCTAGTAGCAATTTTAGCTGGAAACAAAATACTAGTGTGGTTCTGAATTCTGTTTCTTTTGCCAACTTTGAGCTGTCAAACTATAAAATAATTTGTTTAACATAGTATCCCATTTTCAAACTTTAAAGATTCTTTATAAAAAGGAATAGTCCCCAGAAGGGAAAAAAATAAGCATGATTTTATTCTGAATATGCTGATTAATTCTTGACATGTAATCATTGCCATATGTATTGAACTCTTATCATAAAATTTCCATCCCTTTTTATTCCTGAGTTTCTTCATTCTGATCATTTGTAGTGAGGCATATTAAATATCATGGAGTAATCTTCTCTTTCTTAGAAAACTCAGTGTACTTGTGTTCTGGCTATGTGTCACTTATGATCCCAGCAAGAAATTGATGTCTCCACCTCATAAGTAGTAATTGGAGGGCTTGTGCCAAAGTGTTGCAAAGGTTAATAGAAACTAACAGATAGTGGAAAACATCCTGGGGCTAAAAACAGGGAGGGACCCATTATCACTCTTAGCTCTGCGGGAACCTTAGGGAGCCTGCAAGTTTAAGTATATGTGGACTAAGGCAGCTGCCCAGGTAACAAGGACCAAACTGCTGCCTCACATGGAGAAGACAAGTCAATAATTATTCTCTCTTATGACCTCCTGCTATGGCCTGTCAAACCCAACCTGCAGCCTATATATTTTTTTCCAATTTATAGAGAGTTGTCTCCTGAGGTACAGAATAGAGTGAGATGAGTGAGGGAAGAGCTGGTGGCCTGAGAGGAGGCAGGGCACGGAGAAGAATTGTTTATTCAGGAGAGTGGCTTGAATATACTTTATAAAACACTAGAGGACAGGTGCACGAAATTCGTGCACAGGGGTAGGGGGGGTGTCCTTCAGCCCAGCCTGCACCCTCTCCAATCTGGGACCTCTTGAGGGATGTCTGACTGCCCTTTTAGACCCAATCTAGGTGGGGTCCAGCCTAAAAGGGCAATTGGACATCCTTCTCACAATCCAGGACTGGTGGCTCCCAACTGCTTGCCTGCCTGCCTTCTTAATTGCCCCTAACTGCTTCTTCCTGCCAGCCTGATCACCCCCTAACAATTCCCATGCCAGCCTGATTGATGTCTAACTGCTCCCCTGCCAGCCTGTTTGGCCCAGCTTCTCTCCTCTTTCAGCCTGGTCACCCCTAACTGCCCTCCCCTATAGGCTTGATTGCCTCCAACTGCCCTCCCTTACAGGCCTGGTCCTTGCCAACTGCCTTCCTCTGCAGGTCTGGTCCCTCTCAACTTCCCTCCCTTGCAGGCCTGGTCCCTCCCAACTGCTCTCCCCTGCTGGCCATCTTGTGATGGCCATCTTGTGTCCACATGGGGGCAGTTGTGTGTTGGAGTGATGGTCAATCTGCATATCACTCTTTTATTAGATAAATGGAGGCCTGGTACACAGGTGGGGGCCAGCTGGTTTGCCCTGAAGTGTGTCCCAGATCAGGGTGGGGTTCCTTTAGGGTATGGGGTGGCCTGGACTAGGGGCCTCTGGTGGTTTACAGGCCGGCCATTCCCCCTGGTGATCTAAGCAGAGGCCCTAATATCTGGAATTTATTTACCTTCTTCAACTGAAACTTTGTAGCCTAGAGCTGAGCCAAGCCTCCTGCTTGCTCCATGGCTGCAGCCATTTCTGTTTGGATTTATTTACCTTGTATAATTGAAAATTTTTAGCCTTAAGTAGAGGCTTAGGCCAGCTAGGGCAGGTGGAAAGCTTGGCTTTTTCTGTTGCCAGGAAACTCCCAAGCCTCCCTCCTGCTTTCTGTGGCTGTGGCCATCTTGGTGGGTTTATTTGCATAGTCGCTCTGATTGGCTGGTGGGCATGGCTTGTAGGTGTAGTGGAGTGATGGTTAATTTGCATATTATTCTTTTATTAGGTAGGATATGTACAGTTTAATATCCTAAGCAGAGCCAGAAGGCATAGTATTAAACAGGAGACATATATACACACATATTCACATACCTGCATGCATAAATGAATATTGTATCTACCTGGAAGGTTAGATGCTATGTTCTAAAACTAAGTTAAATCACAAATTTAATTACTTCACAAGGTTATTTAATTAAGGAAAATAAACTTGTAATTGAACTGATCTTATAATTTTTTATAGAAATCATATAGATTTCAAACCTATCTATAAAAGAAGTCTTAATTATGCTGAATATTTGCAATATATTTAGTAATTTTTTTTAAAAAAAGTATTGAAAAATACTTTTCCAAGAAGCCATGGAAAGTAGGTGCTTCTAAAAAGAATGGTTAATAGTGCTGAAAGCTCCTGGTAGGTCAAGTTCATTGAAAATTGAAAGCATGAAGCTTGTGAGAATCATGTAATTGGAATTATGGGTGCACAAACTAGAATATAGCGGATACATATAAGAATACTAGAGACCTGGTGCACAAAATTCGTGCACTCGAAGGCAGACTGCAACCTCTCATAGTCAGAGAGCCCTCAGGGATGTTTGACTTATGGCTTAGGCCCGCTACCTATAGGACAAAACACTGCTGAGGAGGTGGTAGAGGCTCCCACCACCTGCTGCTGTGCTAGCCAGCCATGAGCCTGGCTTCTGGCTGACTGGCTCTTGCCCTGTGGGAAAACACTAACCACCAGGGGACAGTTCCTGCATTGAGCGTCTGCTCCCTGGTGGTCATTGAGCAACATAGCTACCGGTTATTCTGCTTTTATGTCAATTTGCATATTAGCCTTTTATTTTATAGGATAATGTGTTATTATGGGTAAGGCTTCTAATTCAAAAATTTTTAGGTAGTTAAAGAGAGGGGCAGAATTTTCACTTGAGCCTGAAGCTAAAATTGCTTTTAGCTCAAAAATCTGCATACCACTGAGACACATCTTGGTGAGGCTCATTCTGAACCCCCACACTGTTGTATTATGTGTGTAAGTACCGGGAGCCATCTAATCTCTTCTGTGAAAGGAACCTTTTGTAACATTACAATGACTAACTTTATCTCATAAATTGTGTTTTGGCTTCAGGCCTGTATCCAATATACATGCAGCAATTTCAGCTCTTCTGTTCAGTATTTACCTGGCACATATTTAATTTAATTTAATTTAATTTACTTTAATTTAATTTAAATCTTTCTAGATTTTTATGTATTAAATAGGAATAGCCAGCCAATGGACAAGACAATAGTCCGGCAAAGGCCTGGAAGGGGCAGGTGCAGGGTAGAGGAGATCAATGGGGAGGAAAAGAAGGTAAAGCAAACGGACATCTGTAATATTTTCAACAATAAATATACATTTTAAATAAAGGCAGATATCTTAGTTGAAAAGAGTTTTATGTGAAATAATATCTGTAATTGCTCTACACTGTACTTTATATTCTAAACTCCTCTCAAAGAGATATTAATTGATCTTATGTTCACTTAATGTTAATTGAACCTATGTTCATTGCAGGACTGACTTCTGCCATGCCAACCCAGCACTGACTGCCTTGGGGGTGCAATCAGACCCTGCTTTTCTCTCTCAGCCTCTGTCTAGAACTGATCGCAGCCCCTCGGCAGTCAGTGCTGGGTCGCCTCAGCTGAGGTGCCCGCAGTGCTGCATTAAGTGCTGGGTCGCCATGGCAGCATTTGGTTGTGAAAACCAAAGCAGAGACAATAAATAACGTAGTCAATGTTACCATAGCTTTCCCTTAATTATCCTTTCTCTTTTCTGTTAAAATTCTCTCTCTTTAGCTGATCATCCTCATGGTTTTGAGACACGTTTAAAAGTTTATCCTAATAAATAATTTAGACTTCAGCTCCCCCTCCAGCTATCATCTTTTAATCCCCTTGCCTACCATAGTTATCTAGACTGAATCTATCCTAATATATAAAAACCCTGGATAACCTTTTAAACATGTCTCAGAACCATGAGGATGATCCACTAAAAAGAGAGAACTTTAACAGAAAAGATAAAGGATAATTAAGAGAAAGCTATAGTAACATTGACTAAGTTATTTATTGTCTCTACCTTGGTTTTCACAACTATAGATGGGGAAAATATACCTGTCTCATAAGATTATTCTAGCAATTAAATAGTATGTTGATAGAATGTTAGTAAAAAGTTTGGCATACAGCCGGGACCGGTTTGGCTCAATGGATAGAGCGTCGGCTTGGGGACTGAGGGGTCCCGGGTTCGATTCCGGTCAAGGGCATGTACCTTGGTTGCGGGCATATCCCCAGTAGGGGGTGTGCAAGAGGCAGCTGATCGATGACTCTCTCTCATCGACGTTTCTGACTCTCTATCTCTCTCCCTTCCTCTCTGTACAAAATCAATAAAATATTTAAAAAAAAAAAAAAAAAAAAAAGTTTGGCATACAGAATGCATTTTATACATTGGTGTGTAAAATGGATCCAGCACCTAACAATATCTCATACATACTAGATGGTCAGCAAATATTTGTTAAATGTTGAATGAGTATGATTCTATTACATGATTTTTTATTATATGGGAATATAAATGAGTCTGCTGCATGTTACAGTACACTGGTTATAGATGCACCTTGAATATTCACTGATGATGATTATCATGATTATACTATTTAATATTTGCCACCCTGATGATGTTGATGTTTTGGGCATTTGTGTTCACAGGGTGCTATTTTTCTGCCTGGAAATAAAGTCCTGGAACATCCCTGCAATGAAGAGAGTCCAGGGAAATTCCTTTTTGAAGTAATTCCAGGTAAGATCATTTTCTGATTGATTGCATTATTGCTGTTCTATATTGGTAGAGGTGAAAACAAGTCAGACAGGCTTTATTCATGGCTGAGCCCCTTAATTTGAGGAGGCAAGTATCAAATTTGGTTCATATTTACAGAGATAATGATTCCAGGCATCTCCACTTGATACAAATGAACATTACCCCCCCCAACACACACACACAAATGCATGGCCACATGATTATTGGAGGGATATCCATCTGTCCAGAGACTCCAGAGTGACCAGAAGTCATGATACAACATCACTAAGACATTATTGGAGACAAGTTGACTTTACAGTGCTGTTGCAATATGAAAAGCTTTGCGAGATATTACAGGTAGAATGCATTGTCAGCTGATTTACTGCCATAATTTCCTCATAAAATGACATTGTAAAGAAGCCTTTGCTATAAAAAGGAAAGAAAAGACCTCCTTCAACAACTGACAAAATGTTTCAGTTTTGTACCTCAACTTTGTTCCCAACGAACCACTTCCATATGTTTGGCTTGTAAAGTTGAGGATTCCTCTGCCAAGTTATCAGATCCTGCAGTTAAATTTCTTCAACATCTGTTCATTTTTTTTTTCTAGTCATCTGCATTCATCCCTCTCAGAGTACCTGGTTTTCACTTAGACCTTTAACTCACCCAGCAACAATTTCTCTAAGGCCATTGTCTACTTTTTGGATAAATTTGTTTAGCCTTTCCTTAATTCTTAATATAATAACAAAAAAAGAGGGATGTACTTTTTGTAGCACTGACACTGACTGACCCAGTTGATGTGCTATTGATATTGATTTAATCATAGCTAGGGTGAGTTTTAATTTATTTGGGTGACTAATATGTAATGCATACCACTAAAGCTGGCACAGAGGCAGTCAACAAAACATTTCCCCCAGATTTATAAATGTTGGGAATCTAAAATGTGAAAGCATATTTTTCCCCTCAATGAAAACAGTTGTAGAATTGAGTTCATCTGGCTCACAGTGGAATCCATGACTAAATGTTAATTAATGCAGCTGAAGTGCAGAAAGGTTACTCAGATGCATTGTGTTATTTGTTTCCCTCCAAGGAGAACATATTGCAAGAAACCTGAATCTTGTTTGCCCTATTAAGAGCTTTTTTATACTTACTTCTTAGTGGAATACTCTGTATGGAATCAAATTCCAGATGTTGCAAAGTCTTTGAAGTATCACCAGAGGAAATTTCTTTCCCTATTTATCTTCAAACATTAGGGCCCGTTGGCTTTTAAATGAGCATGGTATTAAACTGACAGCTTTGGCTCTTTATCTCCAATAATTCTAAAGGTCTACTACTGTGTAGAGATTTCATCTTTCTGTTGCTCTGATGTAATATAAATGGATATTGTCAAGACTTCTAGAGACAGCTGTGTCTTTGAGCTCAGGAAGTCATAAAATCTCCCTTCCAAGATTGCTGTTCTAGGTCATGTGTGGCACATGCAGTGCATATGAAATAATGGCTTTTGATGAGCAAAGCTTAAGAAGCTCAAGACTCTATGATGTGGAATCTGAAGGTTGTTCTTTCAAAACAAATGAGTCCAGAGCTCATTTGAAAATATGCTTCTTGAATCATTAGTCCAATATGTGTAGCTTCTAAATTAGGATTTATAACTCTGAAGTGACAATAGAATTGTGTTAAATGCTTCTTTGAAGAGGCATTTGGAAAATCACTTTGGCACAGTGAGAATTCAGTGTCTGCGCCATTAATCTTGGTCATTGGAGTTTTATTGTGTGTCCCTAACGTCAGAATGGAATTTCAGGCAAATGCTTCTGTATTTGTATGAAAATGTGGGGATCTGTATCACATGATTTTTATCAATTTTTACAAAATCAGAATTACTCAAAATTAGAATGACATGATTTCTTTTTGCAAATGGGAATGACACAATATTTTTCTAAGATTTCCAATTGTGAAATAGTTTGACCTGGGGAACCTGTAAAGTGTAATAGTGTTTTCTTTTATCAGAAAGGATAGGAGACAGGAAAGATGGTAAAAATGTGATCAGTGCCTTATACAGAATCCTCTTCATGCTAAAGGCATATCATCTTAACACATACTTATTCTACATTGCTTTCACTGTGAAATTCTCTTGATCACCACTTTTAAAAACCCATGTTGCAGATGATGCTTACAGAACCAGCACTATTCTGTTTTTATGGACATGCACCTTAAACCTAACTACCCAAAGAATAGCCACAATAAGATACCTTAATCCCACCTGCCTATAATGGTATCTAAAAAACTGGCAATAGCTGGGACCGGTTTGGCTCAATGGATAGAGCGTCGGCTTGGGGACTGAAAGGTCCCAGGTTCGATTCCGGGCAAGGGCATGTACCTTGGTTGCGGGCATATCCCCAGTAGGGGGTGTGCAAGAGGCAGCTGATCGATGACTCTCTCTCATCGATGTTTCTGACTCTCTATCTCTCTCCTTTCCTCTCTGTACAAAATCAATAAAATATATTTAAAAAATAAAAATAAAATAAAAAATAAAAAACTGGCAATAGCCTCCAGGAAGCTCTTTGACAAAATATTATACATGTGTGTGTGTGTGTGTGTGTGTGTGTGTGTGTACAGACAGGGTGAGGCAAATCTAGGTTTACAGCTGTTCATATGGAAAAAAATGCAGATTATGATTATTACAATAGATTTGTTTTTTTAATATATTTTATTTATTACAGAGAGGAAAGGAGAGGGAGAGAGAGATAGAAACATCAATGATGAGAGAGAATCATTGGTTGTCTCCTGCACACTGGGAGTTGAGCACATAACCTGGGCATGTGCCCTGACTGCTAACTGAACTGTGATCTCCTGGTTCATAGGTTGACACTCAGCCTCTGAGCCATGCAGATCAGACTACAATAGCTTTATTAATTAACACTGTTTTTCACATACTGACAACTGTAAACCTACTTTTGCCCCACCCTATATATAGAGGGAGAGAGTTTATGACATATGTGTATATATCTTTATAGTTCCAGATCTTTGTTTTGTTTTTGCTTTAGTATAACATACCTTATGATAATAAGTCTTAATCATGTGCAAATAAGAAAAGCAAGATTGTAGTAAGATTGGGCATCTTACTACAATTCTATGAGGCAGCTATATTATCTATTACTTTGGGTAGTATATTTCTGTACAGGCTTTAAGCTTTTATAAAAACCTGCCTGAAAAAAAAATCTACCATAATTTAGGATTAATTTTTTTATAGATTTTCTGTCTCATAAAATGAATTATCTTGGAATAATGCTGTGATTTAAAGCCTTTCACTTCAAATTTTTTTTCCATTTCTCTACTTGTTATTTAAAAATGAGGTGTTAGCCAAATTGGCGTATTTTAATACTTCGCTGTCTGACATGCCAGATTTTAGACTGGATTACATTTTATGGCCAAGTGTTAAGCTTTTGGGAAATGTGGTTGAGAAAAGAATGTTGGCAGACCTTTAATGTATAGTGCTCAAAGAAAGAGCTTTGCTTCTCTCAACATGTGTACTGTGGAAGTTTTTCTTGTGATGTTAAAAAAAAAAAATAACAGAGTAATTAATGGAATGATGATGCCTTAACTTTCTCGGAAGAATAGTCTGTCACATGAAGAAAAGGCAATAGTGGTTCAAAGACAGGCAGAGACCATAGAGACAGGGAATATGTGCTCCATGGAGTTAGGAATCACACCTTTCTCCCTCATTACATCATCCCTCACATCTGGATCTGGTACAGCATAATGTAAGGTGCTGAGAAAGGTTGAAGTGTATGTATCTACCAGGGTTATGGAAGAATATCAATCATATGAGATGTTGCTGCTTTGTTGTTGTTGTTGATTTGATTAGCTACCACTACTCCAACTCGGTGATATTGATCTCTTACTTCCTGCTGGCTGTGTAGGATCTTTCCATCCCCTGGTGCAGCTAAGACCTCTGTGGCTGAAGCGGTGGGCAACTTCTCACATTCCTTTCCCCACTTCTCTGCCTTCCTCTCTGGTAAGGATACTGAGAGAAAGATGGAAGAAGTTAATCTTCCTATCCAAAAGCTTCTGTAGATATATAGCTCCTTTGTACTGCCTGCTTAGTTCATGTCTCCCCAAATGCTGACTCTCCACAGAGCGCAGTTTTTCACCATCTCTAGAATTGGAAATGCACCTCACATGGTAGGATGCTCTACGTTGGGCATGATCTTGTTGGATGGGACGCCAACAAAGGGGCTCCAAGGCCAGCTGCTTTCCTTGTGCTTACTCAGCTACCAGGAATCCCATGTACCTGCCAAGTAAGAGTAGTGCAGGCTGTTTTGCTGCTGCCACCTCACTCCACCCGCCACCTTGCTCCTGTCTCCATGTAGTGTGAACTTCAGACCCAGTGGGTTCAGTGGCTTGCCAACCTTCACGCAAGTCTTCAGGTTGGAGAAGTGGTGGGTGACCATTCCAGCACACTTCAGAATGTCTGAGCAACTCTCTCATCATTTTCTGATTTGTTCTGATGGTTGAGAGAAATTCTTCTCCTCCTCATCAACAAAATAGTGTTTATGTTGAAAACTGTTGTCTCCAGGCAGCACTTCTCTTTTCTAGTCTTCCTGTTGTAGTAGTCAGGGGCAGGAAAATGGGGTTTGGGTTTCTTTGAAATGCCTGCTCTCTATAAACCCTAGGGAAGTGGCTTGGTACAACTTCTGTTGTTCTTTACAACTTGGGATGTTCGTTTTTAGCACTTTTTAATTTGGATTTAGATCTTACTAATTCCAAGATAATGGAAATACATTTTTTAAAAATCTATAGCTATCTAAAAATCTTAGTCTGGATTCTGGGGAAGCACATTCTGATGGAGAGTTATGATCACATGTTTATTGGGGAGTGCGCTCTGAAGATACTTCATCTGTGAGGAAGTGAGGAAAACAGGGTGGGTACGGGGAGAAGCTGTCCCATGACATCATTGCAACTGAAGTCTCAGCTGATGGTATGGGGAGCCTGGAGCAGGGTTGCCCCTC